TTACTGGTGTAAAAAGTAAAAAGAATATATACCTTTTCTATCTACAAAAAATATGGTTGGATTTGGTCATCATTATTATATAGTTATAATTGTGATCAAAGCTATGTGTAATAATGAACACACACACACACACACACACACACACACACACACACACACACACACACACACACACACACACACACACACACACACACACACACACACACACACACAGAAACACACACAAACAGCGTAGCCATCGACCACGATTTTATCAACGAATATCTAAAATCCGTTTCTTTGCTTGCAGTGGGAGAAGCTGGACATGAACGGAATGGAGAGAAGAAAGATAGCTTGCTCGGTGACCTTTCACGTGGTGGCCATAACGTGCGTTGTCTGGTCGCTCTACGTGCTCATTGAAAGGACGACTGAGGAGGTGCAGGTGAGGACGGGCAGCTCTGGGGCGGGGCACCCACGTAATTAGATTAGTATATACATACATATACATATGTATATATATATATATATATATATATATATATATATATATATATATATATATATATATATATATATATATGTGTGTGTGTGTGTGTGTGTGTGTGTGTGTGTGTGTGTGTGTGTGTGTGTGTGTGTGTGTGTGTGTGTGTGTGTGTATGTATGTATGTATATACACAGACAAATTGGTAGATATCATACACATGAATAAATAACTAGACAGGTAGATAGGTAGACGGAAAGAAAGAGGAGCAGAAAGAAAGCGACAGTAACAAGAAACGGAAGCACAAGCAGAGAGAAGCCCAGAAATCTTTGTCCAGCGTAGGTTTCCGAGAGCAAAGCCAATTGTCATGGCCGTAGAGAACCGAGATGCAGCTGATTGCCATGTTGCAGCAGGAGAGAGCCTACGGATCCGGGAATTCAGTGAGGCAGTGAAAGTGAAAGATGCTTGAGAGGAGTATATTCTATGGGATATTTCAAAATCCCTTTTCTATGTACAAAATGTGATTGAGATATTGATCCTTTTTCTCTACTTCAATTTTAACTTAGGTATGTACATTTTTTTAGGATATATGCAGTGCAGTTGGATGATCACGTCGAGGTGTAATGTAAGATTCATTTACATACGTATATAACAACCCTTCCTGGCCAGGAACTCGAATTTAGGTCACTCCAAGTATGAACCGGAGGACCAGCAATAAACCAACCGATTACACACGTACATCCCACTCCCTCCTCTACAACACGTACACAGACGTTCACACAATTACCCCTCCTTACCCTCCCTCTATCCCCCTCCCCCTCATGCACCCACGCCCTCGCCCACAAAACACGACCATCTTAGGGCTTTTCATAAGAACCTGTGCTCTATAGCCGTCTCTCCCTCACGCACAGGAGGGCTCTCTGGAATGGCCTTTTTGGACCAAGCTGATTGTGGTGGCCATCGGTTTCACAGGCGGACTCGTGTTCATGTATGTGCAATGCAAGATGTACGTGCAACTGTGCAAGAGATGGCGTGCCTTCAACAGGGTCATATATGTTCAAAACGCGCCTGAGAAGGTTGGTTACCTTTTTTGACTAATATCATTGTTTTGTGTATTATTGGTTTAATGATGAGGATATTATTTTACTTTTGAAGTTGTTATAAAGTAGAGTGATGGTGATTTACTTTTTGTTGGTCTGAATATGGATAATATGAATATGAATAATTCAAGATCATTTTTAGGTCAGTATCAAGCTCTTTGATGATACTATATTAGCTTTATATAAAATATTAACCAGTATGTGTCCTATATTAACGAAATTCAAGTGCAGATTTCAGGTATTTGATTCTTACATAAAACGGGTACACCATAGAGAAAATGTCTTTCTGTTTTGAAACACATGTGATTACAATGACTTTATACAGAGATTAAAAAAACAAAACAAAAAACAGACCATATGAAACAGAAGCATGACAATAAGAAACACTAATAAAAAAACTGAGCACACAGCAGTCTAAGATTACCGCACTTTGTAACCAATTTTAGCTGAAGTAATTCTAACGTCAGGTCTTGGCAGGTGCCCCTGAGCGAGCGTGACCGCACAGAGTTCCAACGGGAGGCCGGCCAACAGTGTGACAACGGAGGAGGCGTCGGCGGCGGAGGAGGCGGTGGAGGAGGCGGTGGAGGCGGTGGAGGAGGAGGGGGAGGCGGCGGAGGAGGAGGAGGGGGCGGCGGAGGAGGAGGTGGAGTTGGCTATGGCATCGGGAAGGACAACTGTAGCGAGTCCCACGAGGCGGACAAATCCCTCATGGGTGTGTCCATCATCACAGGCGCTGCCCCCCACGACCTAACTCCTACTACCACCACTACCCTGTCTACCACTCCTTTCAGTACCAACACATCTATCACAACCACAACTATTGCCACCACAAATTCCACCATCACAGCCACTAGTCCCCCTGGTGCTGTGTGGACAGACGCTCCCTCGTCACCTCTGGATTCACAGCTGGCCTTCAGTACAGGTCTTACGGCAACTGCTCTTCTTTACTGAGTTTTGGTTTTGCTGTGTTTGGAATTGCCTTGTTCCTCTGTTGTTTCGTGTATGCGTGACCTTTAGTCATATTTATTTATTTTTGACTGTGTTTTTTTTTTCCTTTCTTTCTTTTTTTTTGTTGTTGTATCTGTTTACCTTTTGTTTCCTTTTGAAAATTTCGGCAAGGGAATAACCAACTGATTTTCCTTCGTTTGCATTACTTGTCCTTACAAATTATCTATTTGTTTTTTGTTTTTTTTCGTTTTAACTTCTCTTCCATTTTCGAGAATTAGGAATCCTTTGTCTTAGTACCTCAAACTTTAACGACATAAACAAATACATTCTTATTACATACACATAAAAAAATACGACACCCAAAAGGAGACCTCAATTGGCATATTCACGACAAGATCACAATCCCCGTTGCTCAAAAAGTCTTATTTTGTCACTCTTATTGAGTTTTCCACATGAAAAAAGCTGCAAAAATCTTTTATTTCCTGAAGGCTAGCGAGGTGGTGTGGCTACTGGTGATATTTCTGGTCTGTGAGTTTAGTTTAAAGTATCTAAACTAGCTTTAGAGCATGATTAATTAAGGAAAAAAAAAAGATGGTAATGACTAAAAAATCCTCCTTTTAGAGTAGAGTTAGATAAAAGAGAAATGAGCATTAACTAAACTGGAATATAAACTTGCACTTCCGGTTGCCGTTTGCACTTTCCGCCTATCCTCCTTCTCCTTCGTGTTGTCAGTCCGAAGCAGGTCCTGTGCATACTCCGAGGACTGGCGGAGCGACAACTGCTTTGGGCAAGAGTGGGGGTCTAAACGAAACACACACACACACACACACACACACACACACACACACACACACACACACACACACACACACACACACACACACACACACACACACACACACATACACACACACACACACATACACACACACACACAGTCTCAAGATATGGACCATATGTCTAACGCACAAAATAAACAATTCTAGAAGAGAACTTTTTCAAAAGGACCAAAGAAATACATTCCTAATTAAGCATTAGTTTTATATTCATTTTTTTTCTTTATTTTCTAAAAAAAAAAAATAAAAAAAATAAAATGCAATTTACACAACAGTAGGCTCAGTGTCTGTAAATGTGATATAGATATATGTATTCACACACTTATATTTGTTTGTCTAGAGCATTTTCTTCAATAAGAAAATGCAAATGATAACTTTTGGCGCTACTTAATTACTGTCTCAATTATCATGTGTTATCGAAGACAAGCTACTTATCACTTTATATCCACTGATGAAAGTGATCATTTTCTTTTGCTCATTCAAGTGCCATATTTATTTTCATATGATTTTTTTCCTTTCTTAAGAAGTGTATATTGTGTGCATTATATTATCTTTAAGTTTGCCCATTTTTTTCTTACCTATTTCCATTATTATTTATATATACATATAACCTGTGCATGTCCTTGGATGTTGGAACTTTATGTGTTGGCAGTCTTTGCTCTTACTTTTCAGCCAAAGAAGAGAAAGAGAATGAGTGAAAGAGAGTGAGAAAGAGAGAGTGAGAAAGAGAGAGTAAGTGAAAGAGAGTGAGAAAGAGAGAGTAGGTGAAAGAGAGAGTAGGTGAAAGAGAGTGAGAAAGAGAGAATGAGAAAGAGAGAGTTAGTGAAAGAGAGTGAGAAAGAGAGAGTAAGTGAAAGAGAGTGAGAAAGAGAGAGTGAGAAAGAGAGAGTTAGTGAAAGAGAGTGAGAAAGAGAGAGTAAGTGAAAGAGAGTGAGAAAGAGAGAGTAAGTGAAAGAGAGTGAGAAAGAGAGAGTAAGTGAAAGAGAGTGAGAAAGAGAGAGTAAGTGAAAGAGAGTGAGAAAGAGAGAGTAGGTGAAAGAGAGTGAGAAAGAGAGAGTAAGTGAAAGAGAGCGAGAAAGAGAGAGTAAGTGAAAGAGAGTGATAAAGAGAGAGTAAGTGAAAGAGAGTGAGAAAGAGAGAGTAAGTGAAAGAGAGTGAGAAAGAGAGAGTAAGTGAAAGAGAGTGAGAAAGAGAGAGTAAGTGAAAGAGAGTGAGAAAGAGAGAGTAAGTGAAAGAGAGTGAGAAAGAGAAAGTAAGTGAAAGAGAGTGAGAAAGAGAGAGTAAGTGAAAGAGAGTGAGAAAGAGAGCGTAAGTGAAAGAGAGTGAGAAAGAGAAAATAAGTGAAAGAGAGTGAGAAAGAGAGAGTAAGTGAAAGAGAGTGAGAAAGAGAAAATAAGTGAAAGAGAGTGAGAAAGAGAGAGTAAGTGAAAGAGAGTGAGAAAGAGAGAGTAAATGAAAGAGAGTGAGAAAGAGAGAGTAAGTGAAAGAGAGTGAGAAAGAGAGAGTGAGTGAAAGAGAGTGAGAAAGAGAGAGTAAGTGAAAGAGAGCGAGAAAGAGAGAGTTAGTGAAAGAGAACGAAAAGGAGAGAGTAAGTGAAAATGAATAAACAGGTAAATAAATGATAGTAATATATGTATGCACAAACGAGTGAAA